GTCCATGAGGGAAAAATGCCACTTGCTCAGCTCTTGGTGGTCCCTCAGTCATGTCCCCTGCTACCCACAAGCAAATTGGGCCCTTCTGATGCTGATTCCTGGGTGGGTGGGTTTGTGTATGTTCTAGGACCCTGTGAGTCTCTCCAACAAACTCTCCTGTGAGGCTGGGAGTTTCCAGCTCCCTCAATCCCCACATGTTTTTTCAGTCCGAGATTTTGAGTCTTCATTTTCCCAAGCTGGAACCCTGGGTTGTGCCATCTGTCTGGTTCTTCGGTTGTTCCTTCCAGTTTATCCACAGGCAAATGTGGGACCTCCCATTTTGGCAGCCGCTGCCTCGCCTGTCCCCAGTCCTCCAGCCCCCACCTTGCCATGAGCCCTCATTCCCCTGGCTGCAGGTCTCTGCCTCTCCTACCTGTCTGAATGAATGTTTCTTATTTAACTCCTTGGTTGTCGGACTTCCATACAGTTCCATTTTCTGACAGTTCTAGTTATTTTTTTATTTTAAATTTGTTGTTGTCCCTCTTTTGGTTGTGTTGAGTAGGTAAAGTGTATCTACCTACTCCTCCATCTTGCCTGGAAGTCCCTCCATTGCCCATTTTTTGATGAGTGTCTCTAAGTTGATTGAATGACAGTCTTTCCTGTAGCCTAAACGTGGTGGGCCATGATCCTGTCAGCATTTCTCACCTCTCTAAATCTTTGACAGTCATACATTTTGAGAAGATAAAAAGAAGCTGCTTATCAGAAGAAGTTCCCCAATCCATTGAGGTTACTGATATTTAAATGAGGGTGTGTGTGTCATTTTCTGGGTATTGCTAGGCAAATTTATCAATCTCTTTTGTTCACTATTTGTATAAGGATAATATGAGGATGAAATTAGTTCATTAAGAAGCTTTTAATTCTTTAGAAGCAAATTTTTTAAAATTTTTTTCACTTTTCCTTTTTCTACAAACCCTGTTTTTGTCTTAGAAAGTAAATAGTTTTGATTTCATTGGTTATTCACAAAACCATGTTGAACTGCTGCTAACAATAGTTTATATTCTTATTTTAAAAATACTTGTTTTATAACTTGACAATTCCACAATTGTGTTTGTTGATTTTGGGGCATCATTAATAAATGATGTGAATAGTTTTAGAGTTCTGAATAGATTGCATTTCTGATACTGACCCTGTTTATGCATAGGAAGATAACCAAGGTAGTTCATGAGTGTTCAGCATAGTATCCGCTCATGGCTGTACCAGACACTCCTGGGTGCGACTTAATTCAGAAACTGTAAGATCATACTTAGTTATTATATAGGCAATTTATATTTGATCCCACATAAGCCTGCTATTTCCAGTTAACGATTAACATTTTAATGTTAAATTTTAATAAGCATAACTATTATGCTTTAAGGTGATAGGTTTTAAGATTTAACTGTGTTCTTTAAAAAAAAAAAGCACTATGCTCTTAAAAAAGGCTGCTTGGCTACCAGTCAGTAGGATGATAAATTAATTATTTAAAGGCACTACTAGATCAAAGTAATAACTTGCTTTTCTTTTCAAAGAAGTAAATGTTAGACTGGAGGGTATTGTTCAGGGTGACTCAATCTTGTTGGGCTTCAGAGGGGTTGAGGGTCAAAGGGGTAAGGCTATGAGATTCCTCTGTTAAATAGTTCCACTTGAAATTGCTTTACATATTTCTAAAGATAAGATTTCCCATTAAAAGAGAGTGCTAAATAATAAAGAATAGTCTTTGCTCCTTGTTTCCTGGGAGGGAGCCTCTAAATCCCTGGAATTTCCTGAGGGATAGGAGCATCTTTCTTATTCACTGTGGGTTCCTGATAGTATACCTTAGTTTAGGTATACTGAGCATGGGAGCTGGCCACTCCAGAAGGAATAATCTTGTGATTAGATAGTTGGGGCTTTTGAGTCACATATCAGCCCCACTGGGAAGCAGGGAGGGGACTGCAGGTAGAATTTCAGAAGATGGTTAATCATGCCTTTAATAAGCAAACTCTTAATAAAAACTCTGGAAACCGAAGCTCAGTTGAGCTTCCTGGTTGGTGATTTTAGTGGCAGAATGGAACTAGTTCAACAAACTTGGCACGTCTGGTTTTGCTGCTTTTCTGGGCCTGGAGCTGAAACACAGCTGAGTCCTAAATGCCATCTCTAGTTGGAATAAAACTCTGTCTCTGTGGTCAGCAGACCCAAGGCTTTGTTCTTAAGATTATTTGATGTGGGCCAGAACCTCACTGTCCTGAGGACTTAATGCCTAAGGGAGTAGTTGTACAAAGGCTTGAATGAGAGTCATGTGAGGCTATTCTCTGGCCTCCTTATTCCTTCTCTAAGGGTGGGGCTGGGGGTCTACTCTTACTGAACAGCAAGTGGGGTCCTGCTGCCCACTGCGACCTTCTAGGCAAAATTTGTAGGAGAGGTTTGTTAAAAAAGAAAAGGAGTCTTTATTCAAAAGCTACACAATTTTGGAGTAACAGCTTTCCACAAGCATTAATCACTTACTCCTCCTATCAACTAAGGCTGAAATCTTTAGCCAATTAGGTAAGGGTAGAATCTTTAACTCTGGAGTTTCCCTATCATTCCCCCTGCTAGTTTTTAATTACCTTATTTATGGAAGATTAGCTTACAAACTAAAACAACATGATATATAAAAGCTGCAGAATTTTGGAAGAATGGCAGGCTTCTGCCTCAGAGCCTGTCCCCTCTAGAACACCCAAAGGAAGACAACCCTGCGACCCTTTGCCATGCCAGAGCAATCCTAAGCTGTGCCCAGAGTTCCTTCTCCCATTTAAAATACTGTCCTAAGTGAAACAAGCCAGTCAGAGAAAAACAAATACCATATGATTTCACTCATATGTGGAATCTAATGCACAAACTGAACTAACAAGGAAAATGGGAACAGACTCATAGATGGAAAGCAGGTTGACAGCTAGTGGGAGGGAAGTGAGAGGGTAGAGGGATTGAGCAAAAAGGAAAAAGAACTCATGGGCATGGAAAACAGTATGGTGATTACTAGGGGGAGGGGGATATAGGGTTCTAAATGGTAATGGGAAAATACAATAAAGATTAAATAAAAAATAAAATAGTTGACAGACTTGACTATAAAAACACATTTTCTGTGGCCTTTTGGAACAGGGTTTTTCTGCACCCCTTAGCTGGAACATGGTGGCCAGAGTGGTTTGGAGTTGAGTATTTCACTTACCTAGGTGGGTTAATCTCTGGTAAAACCCTAGTTGGTTGGGAGCTGGTAAATAGTTTCTTTTGAGAATGGTGGGCCTTATTAAGAAAAAAATGCTCTTGTGTCTTCCAAAATGGTTCCTGTTCTTCACCCCTCTGCTGGGAAAGCAAGAAAACTTTTCTCCTATAAAACTCACAGAAGTGTGGGACATCCTTATGACTGGACCCCTCTAGAATGTTGACTCTCAGACTTGTATACACATAGCTTCCAATGGTTTTTTAAAACTTTTTTTTATTGATTTGAGAGACAGAGAGACAGGCAGACATCAATTTGTTGTTCCTTCATCCATGCATTCTTTGGTTGATTCTGGTACGTTTCCTGACAGGTGATTAAACTCACAATCTTGGGTTGTAGCAAGATGACACTCTAACCAACTTAGCTATCCAGCCAGGGCAATTCATTAATTACAGTTTAAGTTTTCATGTCTTCACCCTGGTTTCTGGTGATGTTTCTGCTTCTGGGTTTCTGCTTTAAGCTGTGATTCTATATATCCACCTGTCTGTGTCTCTAATTTTGGGGATAGTGATTTGCCCTGTGACCTCACTTCTAAGGGATCTAAGAAAGTTGTCAATTTTTCACTTTTTTGATGTTTCACTTGTTAGAATAGAATGATGATTTCTAAGCACCTTACATGCTGGATTGGAAACCGGAAGTAATTCATTATTTTTGATGCCTATGTCTCAATGAAGTCTGTTGTCTTCTTGTCTAGAAAAACTTTGCTTTAACCTCCAGAAAACAAGGCTTCACTTACTTTCTTAGGTGGAGGTGAGATGGTTGCTAGAGCCCTTGAATAAGGAAAGCAAAGAGGGGACCTACCTACATTTCAAACAGCATTAACCCAATCCACCTAACTTGAAGTCTTCTGTATTCTTCACTCTCAATTGCAGACTTCCCAATACTTGAATTTTCTGAGAATTCAGAAGTGTAAAAAAGGCTGGTTCTTACGCTTTTTTTCTTGCTATCAATATACAATTCACCTTTCTTGTGTCTTTTGAGTGGTTCACCATGTATATACATTGTTATATAAATTCTGAGGTATTGTTGCTGTTGTTGCTTCTCATGTTTCCCCCTCTTTATATCTTTAATTTCTCAAGTTTTTAATTAAGAACATATTTAGTTAAAGCTTGTTTTTCTTTTGTTCATTTCCCCATTGTCAGAACCCAGAATCAAATCTAGATAATTCGTTTAATTACCTGAAACATTTTATAGAGATCTATACCTAGTCATGTTCCTTCACTGGCAAGTAAAGCTAAGAATTATTTAATAATGAAAATATTTCTTATTTTTGTCTTTTTATGTGCAGAAAGAGATAGACCTATATATATTTTTAATAAAGAATAACCAATGGCTTATTTTTTAAAAAATTTTTTTAGTCATTGTTCAAGTACAGTTTTCTCCCTTCTACAAAATATGGAACGCTTCACAAATTTGCGTGTCATTCTTGCACAGGGGCCATGCTAATCTTCTCTGTATCATTCCAATTTTAGTATATGTGCTGCTGAAGCGAGCACACCAATGACTTATTTTTTATACTAAGTAACAAGCAACTGAAATGTGAATGGGAGAAATAATTGTGATAGGTAATAAAGGGGTCCTTCTTTCCTTTTAAGGGTAGACTTGAACATATTTTTAATCAGACTGCAGGCAGTTATTGTAATTTATTGTTGTGTTTTGATTATACTACAATTTGATTACTTGAATTTGATTATTTACCTCTTACTAATTTTTAAAAAGTAATAGTTCTGCAATTTCTTTTTATAATATACAGAGAAAGCAACCAGTGAGATGAATACTGCTGAAGATTGGGGCCTCATTTTGGATATTTGTGATAAAGTCGGTCAGTCTCGCACTGGGTAAGTGTTGCAGAGTTTCAAAGGATTTTTATTCATTTTTCCTTTTTATTAATATGAATAAAACAAGAGTCAGAAGGTAGAACATACTATAATTCTAACTTATTTATTTTTAGGTTTTATTTTATTTTATCCTCACTTGAGAGCTTTTTCATTGCTTTTAGAGAGAGAGTTGGGAGGGAGAAACATCAGTGTGAGATCAACATTGATTGGTTGCCTTCCCTACAGGCCCAGACTGAGGATCTTTTGCACCTTGATCGGGAATCGAACACACAACCTTTGGGTTACAGAATGATTCTCTAACCAAATGAGCAATACCAGCCAGGGCCAATTATAATTTATTTTAAAAAGAGAATGTTTTTCCTAGAAAAATTTGAAGAATCCTATTTAGGTTACTTCTTATAAACACTTAGGGTAGCATGACTAATAAAAATGTTACTAATCTCTTTCCTCCTGAAATCTAGCCTTTTCCTCTTAATAAAGTCATCAGGGATTTCTCAGTTGCAAACTGTGGCTGTCATTTCTGAGTTTTTCTTTATCACATCTGCAACATTCTACCCAGCTGATCTGTGATTACTGAAAGAGGCACTTGGGGGAAGTAGAATATTAAACTTTTTGGCATATGCAGAGCTTTCTAAACAGTTCAGTGAATCGACTGGCTGATAGATTAAAGATTCCCTTAATTCCTGGGCTAATAATGCCCAGCTATTAGCAACCTTCTTTATGCCTTCATGCCCCACACATGTTGTCTTACTCTTGTACTTTCATGTGAACAAATGTTAGGGAGCACTGCTGCATTATACTTGATTCTTCTGGTGGTGATCTTAACCTCTGATATACCTTCTTTGGTTGTTCTTTGTTCCCTTCTAAATACAGATAGTTTCTTAAACTTTTTTTGATCCATTTTTCCCCTAATACTTTTTTCTTTTCTTATACCTTTTCTTTTGAAATCTGACAATTTCCAGGTATCTTTATGTAAGTAACATATGTATTTTCAGCTCTAACTTTTCTTACCCAAGCATTAGTCCTCTGGATATAGCATTATTTCTGGATAACCACACTGTGTAAGCCTTAATCTCCATCTCTAAAGTGGAACTCCTGTCTCTTTTATCTTTAAACCTACTCTCCTTTGTCCCCTGTTTCTGTTAATGAAAAGATTATTCTTTCATTTACACTTAAAACCTCAGTCACTGCTACATTTGTTACCAAATTCTGTCAATCTGCTTCCATAATACCATTTAGAATGTTGATGCTACAAAATGTCTTTAGTTAAGTTATTGAACATGGCCAAACCAGGTTGGAGCAGTTTGTCTTCGGGTCCTTTGTACCCTTCACGTTAGCGGTTTTTGCTCCTAATGTTCTCCTTTGTTAGGTTCCCAAAAATGTGGCCTCCAAATGTGGCCTTAGCCATCACTTTTGTTGTCTTTGTATTGTAATATACTAAGTCTTGTTCTTCTGATCTTGTTAGTTCCTTAATATAATCAAAACTTGAGTAGCTACTGTATACTACTTATCTATTCCTTTTTCTATATTTCTATTGCTCCCTAACTCCTTTACTTGAAACATTCTGTACCATGCATGGATTTGTGAATTGACCTTCTGTCATTTCTTTCCACTTCATCTCATATCTAGTTGCCATACAAAAAACTGTGACCATGTTACTCTCCTTCCTTCTGTATTGAATTGTCTAACTTTCTTAGGCCTCAGAATCATTTCTTTTCCATTTATTTCTCATTCTTTTCAGCTCAAGCATTTGAGTTGTTAGTGCTCTTCTACCTAATTCAGTGTTGCTGGTCATTCTATTCATTCAGTACAGAGTATTTTCTTCTATCATTTCCTATCTGCCTCATATCCTTCCAGTCCCAATATAGATATTTCTTCCAAAAAGCCTTTCCTTGTCCCCTTTATTGAAAATCATATAGTCCTCTGAACCCTTAAAGCATTATACCAAAACTGTTCTTACTTGTTCTATCTTTTATAATAGTAATTGATGTCTATTTAGTAGACTTGAACTTGTAGAGTAAAAGGTCCATGAATTTTTGTTGTATAGAGGAAAGATGCAAGTAGCTTAGTGGTTGAGAGGACAGACTCTGGAGTGAGACTGCCTGGGTTCAAATCCTAGCTGTTACCCCCTAACTACTTACATTGGGTGAGTAACTTACCTCTCCAGTTTGCTATTCAGTTTGAATGAAAATAGTATCTTCTTCATAAGGGGCTTGATTTGAGTACTACCTGGCACATGGCTGAACGGGTGAACCTCTGCCGCTTTTTGATTAAAGTCATATTTTGTGACAGTTTGTTGAGAAGTGAGTATAGATCTAGCTGCATCCCTGTGTATTTTAGAGATAAAACTTTTATCTAACATTTCAGTTGCAAAGTTCCTCCTCTCTTTTTTTTTTTATTTTTATTTTGGTGTTCTTCATTTTGCAGATGACTTTTCTGATAATTTGGTTAATTGACATAAAAAGACAAAACTGCCTTTCATTACTAGAAATAGTCCATATTTTTCTAGTTAAAGATAAATTTGTAATTCATGTGAAATTTTGTATAATGTGTAATGATGATGAAGAGATGAATTTGTTTTTCTTCATGTTAACATTATTATACTGGAAACATTTGTATTTTCCCCTAGTTTTTCTTGTGATGAGAACTTTTAAGATCTCTACCCTTAGTAACTTTCAAGTATACAATAAAGTATTGTAACTGTAGTCATCATGCCATACATTACATCCCCAGAACTTATTTATCTTGTAATTAGAAGTTTGTACCTTTTGACCACATTCACCCATTCTGTCCCCCACACCCCAAGCTGTTCTCTGTTTCTATGAGTTGTTTTATATTCCACATAATCAGTGAGATAATAACAATATTTGTCTTTGTTGATTGATTTCATGTAGTATCAGTGGCCTCAAGGTTCATCCTTGTTGACCACATATATTTAAGATATACTCATCTTCCTTTGGGGATTTTAATTAACATTCTGCTAGATCTGTAAACTTACTTAGGATGTATTTTCAACTTTGCCAATTTAAATAATGAGGGGTGGTTTTATTGGTCTTTTTAATCAATATTATTTCCCCTTCCTCTTTTCTTCACTTTGTTTTTTTTTCCTTCCACTTATTTTCTCCCCCTCTCTTGTCAGTATGGCTCCCTAGTTCCTTTAAATTTTTATTAAATTAATTTCTAAGCATTTGTTTATTTGTATAAATTCAATTATTTCTTTGTAGCATTTGTTGATAAAGAATTGTTTCAAAGGATTAAATAATAATTTATATCATTCTAATATTATTGAAGTTTTTTTTTAAATGTCAAACATTCCATATTTATTCTTGTGCATGATTTCTTTTCAAAAATGTTTTACATTAGGATCAGACCACATGATTCTCATGGACATTTGGTACCTTTGACTTCCTGAATTCCTTTCTCCATAAAAAATATATATATATATTTTATAATTGCATTGTTGTAAAGACAAGCATATTATACATTAAAACATTTTCTTTTACCAAAAAGTTGTTTTTTTTATTTTAAAACAGTTAAAACATTTTTGTGAGCCCCTAAAATAATTGTGAGTCCTAGGCATTGTGCCTATGTGCCTAAGGGATAGTATTACAGAATTGAGTTATATATTATCAGGTCAACTTAATAATAGAAAATGATTAAAGTTTTTTTTAGGTGAGCAATAAACTGTGGAATACATATAGAGGAGTTCCTAATATGTCATTTATTTGTTTGTTGGTTGGTTGATGGATTGACTGACTGATTAGAGAGAGAGAGAGAGAGAGAGAGGGAGGGAGAGAGATGTAAGAGAGAAACATGGATTGGTTGCCTCCTGTACTCGCCCTGACTGGGGATCGAACCTGAAACCTAGGTATGTGCCCTGACCAGGAATCAAACTTACAACCTTTTGGTGCATGGGAGGATGCTCGAACCAACTGAGCCACCCAGAAAGAGCCATCTCTAGAACTTTCGATCATCCCCAACTGAATCTCTCCACCTGTTAAACAACATTCCATTCTACCCTCCCCCAGTGCCTTGAAAAACACTTACAATTTGTTTTAATCTTTAAATCCTTTTATAGTTAGTATATATGGAAAACTGAATGGAGATCTCTCTGGTTTGTGTTATCTGGGAACCTAGATACATATGTTTAGATATGGGTTGCTGATGATAGCATAAGAATATTGAACAATATTGGAGGTTGTCGGTGAGCTGTTCTAGATACCTGGTATGCTTTAGAGAAGACTGAGACATGTTATTGGTGTGAGAGAGGAAAATGGGACATGTGTTTTCATGAGACAAATTTAGACAGGGTAGGTTAATGTAGAGAGAAGTTAGGGATTAGAATGCAGTTTGTGAGGTTATTTTTATACTAGGCAGTAGTCTAGATTTTTTTTTTAAAGTATTACCATTTCAGTGTTAATCTGTAATTTTGTAAAATGTGCAGATCTATTTAAGAAGGCTGATTTAGGGTGGTGAAGGGAACTTTAGGAAAAACATTTCTCTTTCAGTATTTTAAGTCAAGATGATTTGTAACCAGCAATATATTATTTAATACATAAGTAAAATAACTTATATTAAATCTTTCTTCCTTAAGGAAATAATTTCTTTTTTCTTTTTTTGTTACTATCACTTGTTTGAGTTCTGGTAGTTTGGAAAATATTCTCAAGTTTTAAAAGGAAAAAAAGTCATTATTGTGAAATTTTCTTTAGTCAGAACTGTGACCCAGAAACATGGCTCCCAGTGGTGATTTGAAAATCCTTCCTTAATTCTTCCTCTTTTTAAAAAAGCTGACTGCTCTGTTCTTTAAATTGCATGTGTGTATGTGTGTCTTTGTTGATTTAAAAATATAATAATATTTTTATGTAACAAAAATGTACTTTTTTGTTTTAAAAATAGACATATATTCACATGGCTCAAAATTAGAACAGTTTAAAAAGATGAATATTGACAAACCTAACTCCTGTCCCTGTTTCCCTTCCCCTTCCTCTGTAGGTAACCAC